ATTGCACTTAAAAGACAAAAATAATTTTCTGTACTTAAAAATAATGAAAAATTTAAAAGTGTGTGGTGCTCTTACACTTGACATATACTCCCAGTCACTATCTTATAAACAGGTTTGAACAAAGAAGTATATATGAGACTTAGCTTTTGTATGATGCACCACACACTTTTAAATTTTTCATTATTTTTAAGTACAGAAAATTATTTTTGTCTTTTTAGTGCAATTTTTAAAATAGTTTTTAGTTCAATTTAATATATATATTAATATTTTTTTTAATATGTTTTTATAGGAAAGTGTGTTTTTAAATTTTTTTTTTTTATTTCATATAAATTGGTACAAGATAGTAATTTAATTTTTATATATATAAATTAGACTCACGCCATTCTTATTCCAAATAAGCCAATTTATTTTGGCTTTTTTTTGTTTCTTTCAGCTACTGAGGCCCTACACAATGTAATCGGTTGGCGAAATCATATGCTCCAGGGACACTTACGTACATCTACGTGTATATGCGTATCTAGTTGTCTCAGCGGGATGTCAGTACAAAGCAATAATAAGACACAATCGACACGTAATGAAACCTAGTATTTTTAATAAATATTAAATTGTACAATAAATTGTAAATAAAACGGACAACATCTTTTTTTCTTCATTGTATGTAGTTATACTCTAAGTCTAAACATAATTCATAACTAATTTGTACCAAGTCATAACATTATTATATTATACAAAAAAACAGAAATAAAATGAATTTCTCTAAATAATTGAATTCATACGATATAAATGATATAATATTTACTATATAAACGTATTACGGTCATGCCTGGCGCGAAAGCCTAATATAACTACGAGACGGCTAAAATTATGTTGCTAGGTATAGACTATACATAGAAACTGAAAAAATATAAAATAAATGTTAATTTTTTTCTTCAGACTTTAGTCACGATTATTGGATTTTGTAAAATAATATCAAACAATTTAAAAACTGAATTTATCTTAATATAGAATTTATAAATTGTGAATTATAATTTTTTATTACTATAATTATTATTTTATATATTCAAATGCGGACTAGTCGCAAGTGAATAACGTTTTACTGTGTATAAAATGTCAAGTGGGTCACTATAAATATTATTATGTAGTGTTTGAAAGAACGCGTTTAATTTTACGTAAACTAACCATGAACGCATTCACTGTTTTATTGAACGTTCTAAACACTGCTATAATGTATATTGTGTTCAATTTGAATCCAATGATGTTGGATCCATTGAATCTTTTTTGCTGTTAACATAGCAGATAGTTATTGTAGTCTGTTCGTGGGCGAGGCCGTGTTATAGTAAAATTACAAACATTTGTAGCCAGTATTTTAATATTATCATATTTATGTAAGGTAATAACCATGAAGACTAGAATAATAATAATAATAATCTTCTTAATAATAACTAATAAATAATCAACAATTACTGTGATAACTGATTACTGAATGATTAGCAAACATTAATGATCGGCTTTTTGTTGACGCGCAAGGAAATTGAATATTTTCTATAATATTTTATTTCTATAATATTTTCCTACTGCCATCTGGCATCCAACCTCTGAATCTGATCCTCTTGTTCAGATTTAATTATTTTAATTAATTTTGTATCATCAGCAAACATAAGTATATTAGAATTTGTTAAAACATTAGGGAAGTCATTAATAAAAATATTAAAGAGAAGTGTAGATAAATGGTCACCTTRAGAAACGCCAGAAGGAACAGGGAAACGCTTAGATTTAAAATTTTAGGTATTTAACAATTTTTGGAAACGGTATGAAAGAAAGGATTGGAACTAATTAAGAAGGGATCCAGAGAAACCAAATGATTGTAATTTTTTAAAAAGAATTAAATTATTGACTTGATCGAAGGCTTTAGAAAAATCAGTGTAGATTATATCAGTTTAAGTTAATTTTCAGTAGAATCAAATAAGTGAAGTATTATGTTTCTTGCTATGGCTAAGTTGTTGCAAGCAAAATATTTTGGCATAAAGCCAAATTAATTATTTACGAAGAATGAAGAACAACAATTGTTTAGTTTTGATGAGATTAATTGGGAAAATAATTTTGGGATTGATGATAATTTAGAAATTTGACGATAATTAGGTTATCCTCAGGGATGGCTATTATATGAGGAGCGTGGTGCGATATTGGTGGGGGCGGTCATCGTTTCCACCAAAACGAAAAAGGTTCGATTTTCATTTCCGCCAAATCTATTTTTACTTACCTGTCTAAATTATAGTTTGAGAACCATTTAGAGTTACCCAGGGGTCACCACAAGGAGGTGATTCTCATTGACCCCCCCCCGGAAAATTGTTTGAAATAATTTTCGGATTGAAGTTACAAAATTTTAATTTTGATTAAATTAAGTCAGTAAAATTATAATTACATTTATGTAACATTATATGTTTATATTTATCATAAACTATTATTATTTTGAATAATTGTTGCATACTTTTTATTTAAATGTCATTCTTGAGATTGTTTTATTTTTGTATTCGTCTATTGCGTTTTTTGTACTCATCAATCGTTTTTTTATACTACATTTTACAGGATTTTACATACCTAACTTGCAACAGTTGATTATAATGTATACCTCGTTTTGAACATTCGAAATTAAAATTTTTTTAAATATATTAATATGTGGATGTGATTTATAAAATTGTTCATTAAAATGCGCGTGAAAAGTTTCACAATTATTTGTTGTTCTGGATATACTTTCACTAAAATTGGTCCATATTTTTGGGGGAAATACAATATTTTCAGAGATATAGTTGTTTGGGCTAGTATTATTGAGCTGGAGTTTGCGTACCCTTAGTCTGCCTGTAGTACTATCGACCATCGATGTAACTATGTCGATAACATAAACAAATAATTGATTTTAAACGTAGAAATTCCTACATTAATAAATAAATTTAAATCGATTTAAGCTATATATCACTAATCACATGTAGGTTTATCGATAGTGATCGCCGATCGGTGTTTTGTTACCAGATCTGTGAATACTGAAGTAGCAATAACGATAAAATTACGAGTATTATCCGCATAATATTACAACATAATAGCCGCGTCCACGTGAATTGTGAATAATATACGTATTTATTGAATAAACCATTTTTAAATATATACATTTTTCATAATGGAATTCATTACCAGTAAACGTGGTAAAAAAATTATTGTGATTGATGGGTTCAAATTTAATTTTTCGTACAAGTTGGTCCAAACAAATATTTCACGATATCACTGTTGAATGATAAATCATAATTATTGTTCTTGAAAAATATTAAACACGTTTACATAAAAAATATTGCGTATAACAAAATAGTAGACAAATATTCCAGATTATTAAAGGTACCTAACATGAAAGAAACCAAAGTTACATGCAAAACACTCGCACCCACCACCCACAGCTTTAAGAATTCATGAGAGTACGATTCGAGGATATTCAGTTTTTACTTAAAAATTACAATAATTTAATGATAACATTAATGTAGAGACTGCGCTGTGAAAAAATCTTTACATGCAGTTATTGAAATAGTTGGTGTTTCAATATTAAAATATTTTATATACATAAACAGCCATTTAAAAATCTAGATTGTAACAAACATAACAATAATAATAATATAAGCTAACACACGCGACAATATAATTTATAGGTATCATATTAATTTACGTGTTRGACAAGAATATAGTATAACGTTATAATAATATAATAATTTATTGGAGGGAGCGGGAGGAGCGAAACCTGTCCAGTGCAATAATGATAAAAAAAACTGTTGTTATTCGTCTGATTTTCGAAGTTTCTGGACTAAAAACATTTTGGTCGCCTTTACGGCTATAGCGTAAAAGAGCTCGCATAGCGATTTTCTCGTTTTGTTCGCAGGTGGTTGCTAGTTATCAGTGGGCAAGTGTTCGTGCACGTAAGTTCTGCTACCGCCTTCTGCGAACTCGGCTGCTGCATGACCATCGCCCTTCAGTATCCACTTGGTCGTCAGAAGACCTTCAACGCCTACGGGACCACGTGCGTGTATTCTGGCCGTACTGATGCCTACCTCGGCGCCTGAAATCAATCRTGGGGAAAAAAAACGCATAAATTTGTGCACACTTTGAATTTCCAGTATATGACGAGCCTCTCTGCTATGGCATGCGAAATCCAATTCGCTTAAGARAACGCCGTGCGGGAATTTGTTGTGCCTGTCTTAAAAACTACAACATGGCAAATTTTACGTTCACGATAATACGTTTTACTCTGTAATTTCTAAAATTAGAGTGAATTTACGTCATATAAATTTCAAAGGCAAGAATATTATATAGGAAATCTTGGAGGATATTATTGATATTATTAGTATAATTATTCTACAATACGAGAAGATTAGGTACCAGCCGTGATTCTAAATCATTGTATCTATACTTTAAATTCAAAAATAAAATAAATTTACCTACGACCATACTTCAGAAAATAGTAAAACACAACACTTACCCAAACCAAATCTAAATCCATCTGCGAACCTTGAGCTAGCATTATGGAATACACAAGCACTATCAACATCTCTTTGGAATTTCTTAGCGGATTCGTCTGATGGTTAACAAAAAAATATTTGATGTTATTTACAAGGATAATTCATTATTGTAAATATTCTAAAACCTACCATTTTCAGTAATGATAACTTCTGTATGACCACTTCCATATGTATGTATGTGATTAATAGCAGAGTCAATTCCAGAGACTAATTCGATTGTACAAGCTAACTCGCCGTATTCGTGTTTTAGAGATTTAGCTTGGGGTGGACCAAAAGTTAAACGGGACGATAATTTTGGACCAGAAAATAGTTGCACCTATAAAACAAAAAAATATATATTTAACATCTAATTTAATCTTTAAGAACTTATACACAAGTACATTTATTTAAAATGTAAATTAACTATAAAACAGTAGTACGGTTGCATAACTTACAATATTTGAATAAATAGAATTCAATTTTGAAAGCAACAATCTATATTTCCTATAGTAATGTTTTGCCAATAATAATTATTACATATAGATGATATATTAATTAAACAGTGAAGAATGTGAAGTATGTAAAAAAAATATCTTATTTATGTGTTCATAGAATACGATCTTGTAATAATCAATAAAATAAATTTGCTCGATGAATAAAATATTAAGATTATAAAAAAATATATGCAGCTTATACTAAAGWAAATACGAATACASATTATGCTTACATTTTCTTGTACTAAAAGTTCTAACTATCATACACCATACTAAATTGAGTTCGATTGTCAAACTAAAGTTTTTATTTTCTAAAATATTTTCCGAAATACATATTATATTTTCTAATCGCAATAGTATGTTAATATAATGTAAAATTTTAATAAAATCTACATACAATGTATAAAGTGTTATTATCTAATTCTTGTATTKAAGTAAATAGATTGAACAATTTTCATTTTACACTTACATTTTCTTTCTTTAACATATCACAGACTTCATTGAAGAACGGTCCTCCGAACAAATCTTCGTGGATTAGGAGAGTTTCCATCGCGTTACATGCGGCAGGGTAATCGCACTTGGAGTCACGAACTATAATATTATATTAATTGAGGTTCTAAGTATAATTTTTGATGACATAACTTGTTTTCTAAAAAAATGCTTACTTATAGTTAGAGCTTTATCCAAATTGGCGTCCTTGTCTACGTACACGTGGCATATTCCTTCAGCGTGTCCTAATACTGGGATGTGCGCACATTGATCCTGTATACTACGAACCAAATCGCTAGATCCACGGGGAATAATAAGATCGATGTGGTTCTCCATGGCTAATAAATCACTGATCTCTTCGCGGGTCGACACCTATTTCACATACGATTTACAGATAATATTACTTGTCGGAATAAGTTAGTAACGATTATACAATAGTTCATTTGGGTGACAAAATATGTAAAAAAAAATACAATAAAGACTATTATGTGGAATAATATGCTGGTTAATAATAATATTACAAAAACAATGAATCAAATTTATAACTTGACTACTTTGAATAATTCTRTGTTTTAGGAGGTACGTTAGTTTTGTATAATTTTTGTTCGCCAATAAAATTATTAAAATATAGGTACTAACTTTGTAGTYATAGTATACCTACACAATATTATTGTCACAAAGTTACCGTTATCTAATTATCCGTATATTTAATAAACATTTTAAAATTTTACAAATAATGTACACTATCGGTATTAAGCATAATATACTAAAAAAAATCATACCAACATATGTAATTTATTTAATAAATATTTAGAATTGAAAAAACTCAATGTCGAAACTTTGATTTTTCGATTTTCCAAATCATTACTCATGTTTGCGGGATTTCAATTTTTGAAATTCGAATGAATCAAACTATTGGACGAGCATTCGTGAACTTTCGTGTTCGGTTGATTTATTGATRGTCATTAGTTATTAACAAGCGTTTACCATATACTTTATGTGGTAAAATAAATAACTAATAATATTTCAAAGTTACTTATTATGCGTGAAGTATCAATATTTCATTTTTTTAAAGTGCGTTGTAATAAAAAAAAAATGACACGATAAATATCAGGGTGGTAGTGAAATTAAAGAAGTAAATTTTAAATTTTAMGGACAAATTAACACTATATTCTAAACTCAACATTAATACACTTAAACAAGTATCCCACACCCTTTACCAATGACTTTGGCAATATTATTAAGTTTYACCGCGGAAAATTCTCAAACATCCATTTCGGAACACTATTAGTAGTCATATTTTTCGTATAGTGAAATGTCGGTAAATAGTACAGTGAATAACTTACCAACGATATAGCGTCCTGGGCACCAACCGTGGCCAATGCTTCTTTGACTATATCCATGAGCGCTTTGTTACTGTGYGACGCCTCTTTGCCTCCCTTCAATAAAAGTCCATTTGCCGAGCTCAGCGCCAAAGCAGCTACCTGTTGGCCCACAAAAACCACTCACTATAACATTTTACATTATTCAAGTGGGACACAATGGGAATGAGGTGGCAACATCATAAAATAAGCTATTATTGTTCGGTACACTAAAACGTATGCATTAAACGCGAAACACCTTTACGTCGTCGTATCCCCATAATATAGCTATAATATGGAATATGATCAAGAGAAGATGCTTATTATTTTTTTTTCAATAACACATTTTACACTGCTAAATKAATTATGTACGGTAAAGTGTTTAATAAGATTTCGTTATCGTTACTTTTTTCATTCAATTTTTCCCAAGGATAAATCCTCTATCATGTAAATCTGTCATATTTTGTTATTATTTTGTGAAAAACACATTGTTTACAAAATATAATACATCAACAATATTTGTATTTTGTTGGAAATGTTTAATACGCATTGATATCAAACTTATCATAGAAAAACAACTAAACATTTATTTTGTGTTTAAATTGATTTTAAATAACCTTTTAATTTAAGAGCTTTGTAGTATTAGAATAGAACCGAATGTTTTTTTTTTTTATATATATATATAATTTTCTCTATTCATCATTCATGTCTAGTTTTATATCTATCAAATAGTGTATCGCTATAATATTAAACAATAACTTTAGAACTGTATAACCTAAATAATATTGCATAGCAAACAAATTGTCTAGTGATTCTATTCATACTAGATACCGGATACATAGATATAAAAAGAAAATATTAAAAAATATAATATATTTCTCGAAGTTGAATTGAATTTGATTATAAAATTAATCTTCTTTGAAAAAGTTCAGAAACTTATAAAAATCAAATAAATTTTCATTGCTTTTCTGAACTGGCGTCCATTATAATTTTTATGGGTTRTTATTAGATTATTTTTTGTCAATCATCAAATTTGTTACAAAAATATTTCATCATAGCTTGCATTTATATTTTAATTTATTAAATAAATTCACCACACTCTATTTGATATCACCAAAAGCAATTTCAGAAATATTCGAAAAAAATGTTCTTTACAACTACCTACACGTCATATTTAATTCGTATTTTTCTATATAATATGTCATAATTACTTACTTTATTTATTTTGAAAAATCAAATATATTATATCGTACATTTTTTWATTTTCTCAAATAAGATATGGAGTTAAAAAATGACATAAAGAATTCTCTACCTTCTCGTTAAATGATATTGTAAATCTGACATGTGAAATTTAATTACCTGGGGCAAACAATCAGGGCGAGATTCAAAAATGACAAGAAGAACACCGATGGGAACTGTGACTTGAGTTAAATCTAAATTTTCTGAAATCTTGGTCCTTTTTAATACCTTTCCAACATTTGTGTGACTAGTCTCAGCTATTTGTTTAAGACCTGCAACAAGATTTATTAATTTAAATAATTGATATTAGGTATATTGTTACATTTTATTGTGAATTAAATCTTACCTGTGGCTAGACTCTTAAGTTTAGCTGGTGTCAAAGATAATCGGCTGATCAGAGGAGCAGCTGTCCCTTCCTTGGTAGCTATAGCTATATCTTTTTCATTGGCGTCCAATATAATTGCTTGTTTACTTATCAACAAATCAGCTAATGCATTAATTGCACTTGCACGGTCTACAGCTGGTAACTTTTGCAAGACGCGACTTCCGTAACGTGCTATAGAATTATTACATTTTAAAAATCTATTTAAAAGGTAATATAATTTAATAATTTACCCATTTTCCTATTACTATATCATAATAGTTCGACTATTAAAATGTTAAATTCTAATATATAAAACTATGTTTATGTACAGGTAAGCGAAATATTAATTTAACATTTATTTCATTATTTAGGATTTAAATGTAAATGTCTATCAATGTCAATTGAAAATGTATAAGTGATAACGATAAGTGATTTATCTCCTTGATATATATATAATTTATTTATTGCTTATTTAATAAACTGCTTAGAAACAAAATTATTTTCTCAATGATGTTTGGTTGGTATAATATCTAATATTAGCAAAGAATGTTGTTCAATAGTTTTATTAAACCATTATTATGTCATTCTGATATCATAAATAAAAAAAATACAGCTACCTACGGTAAGATAATAAATAATACAACGTGTAATTAAGTCTTGAACATTGCAGCTATTTAGCAATCAATCGTTTACTTGTCTGAACACTTAATAATGTTATGCAGACTAAATTCAACTAATAGTATTGTTATTGACTTTTATATCATTTAGAAAAAAATTGTCAACATACCATTTTCAGCTAGTGTTTCAACTGGAGTGGCATTAGCAGTAGGGGCATTGGTGAAAAATGTGCCAATTTTTCGACCGAGCACAATTRACTTAATAGCTTTTTCTTGCATGCCATTACAGATTACTACAGAAACTCCTCTATTCAAYGCCCACGTGGCCGCTTGYACCTAAAATTCGCGTAACACATTRTTTACAAATGGACTGTTTTAATTTGATCAACAGAGAAAAGGTTTCCCTTCGGAATCTTGTAAACAAATCATGTATAGCATGCATAATAAATACTGTATAAAATATAACAAAATATAGGGCTACAATATTATCARACTTGGGTCTCGAAATTTAAATTCCTRTACTAGTAGTAGGGTCCAATAATTTTGTCGGTAAGTTACACACTTATCTGACGTTTTAATACCCATTTCAACAAATTTAACCACTTAAGACTATCTACTATCTATGTTTGACTACATGCAAGT